AATAAAAGACTGATTTTTTTATACGTATATGTGGATAATTTTTTAGATTGGTAGATTAAAGTACACATCCGTGTAGGGAAGGTAAAACATAAAAATAACTAACTTTTATTTACTGTATCTGACCCGTACTAGTTCGGTTAGATTAATTGCAATGCATTGATATGTTTTGAAAATGCTCATTAAATGTTTATGAGTAAATCCCAATATCAGAACAATAAATATTTAGAGATTTCCAATAATTTTGGCCATTGTAGCGGCTAATGTATAGCGGCGCTACATTTTACTGTAGCGGTAGCGCCCGCTACATTTAGAGCATGTAGCGGTAGCTGTAGCGCCGCTACATTTCAAAGCAGCGCTGCCCAGCTCTGATGAGCACTAGGAGCAGGATATCGTAAGGCCTGGGTTATAGCAGGACTTATAGGGAGATCATCCAGAGCAAATCTTCTCATTAAGAAGATCTAACATTAACTTTTATCGGCACATGAATGAGATGTTGAAATCGCAGGTAAATAGACGCTGTGCGTTGATGTTCGGTTATCGAGAAAGCAACGAAGCATAATAGTTGGTTAAAATCGTCATGGTGACGTCATTAATTATCGTTTTTGTCACTGTATACGATTATTATAGTTCCATCACTCCATTTTGTTATCGGCGCGCAGTTCAGCGCAAATGGAGCGCAAACGAGAAAAGAGTGAAGACGCCAACGAGGAAAATAATGAACGAGATTAATATGATATGATTGTTTAATAGCATATATCAATAACTCAGAAATACTCTTTAATTTGTGAACACTGCGTACGATTGCGCGAAAGTTTTGAAAAACCCCTTAACGCGATATTACAAATACCATGGTCAAGATGGTGGTATTGTATTATACTCAAGGCTGGTAAAAGCGTATGCAGTTAATTGTTATATGCAATTATAAGTTTATAGGATTAGACCTACAAAGAACAATATATACCTTCTTGATCTCAATATACCTTTATATCACAATATGTCACAAACCAGGAGCCATATTTTCCGTCACCGCTCAAGCTAGCACGAGCAATGAGCGTTGCAAAGAGAAGAGAACTGAACGCAGGGAGACTTCAAGACCTCAGCCTAATGTTAGGTTCACGGACTGTATTTAGATATTCTGGCTCAAATCAGAACTCTCTAATAATATTTTTCTCAGTTCTTTGGAAAACTAATTTAATGAAGTTTGGATTTTCGCGAGGGGGAACCTCAATTAAATTATGGGCTACACAATGATTTAAATTTCAAGAGATATCCAATGAGTGTTTCAAAACTTTTTAGCAGACACACTTTTTCAACGAGACATAAAACATATAAAATAATTTCAGTGTAATCCCACAATTTAAAAAAAGGTAAAAAGCGTACAAAAGTTCATGTTTCTACAGCCTGCAGTTCACAACCTTCTAGTGACCAAGTACCACTTTAAACAACTATACACTCACCACGTACCACTTATTCGACTTACAAGCCGCTAATGTGATAGAGTAGCATTTAACTAAACTAATGCCTTAAAAACAGGCGTATTAATTAGGTGCACTGTTTGAACTTAACGGTAGGTCGCTGGTACAAGGTTGTGGTGTGTGGTACCTGTTACGTATCGCGGCCAAATTATTTTAGTTAGGCAACAATCATTTTGTGTCGTAAAAATAGCTAACTAGATATCTCTCATGGCACTGAGGGTGTCCGTGTACCAAATTTAAATTATTTCGTGCCACTAGTACGTAATCCACTGCATCATCAACATTACAGCAGCTTTCATACATAAAGAATGTCGAACGTGATGAGCCTCGAGGACGACTAGGTAATTTTCTCATTTTTAATAATTAATTAATAATAATAACTTAATAAATATAATTTTTCTCATTTTTTAGAGAAAAATTTTGCACGGATACTTAGATCATTAGATTGAGATTACTCATAAGTTGTGTGAAAGCATAAATTTATTTCTAATGAGGCAGGGGAGGCAGGCTTCGACGGAATACGCAAAGGCAGAAGACATTACGTTTTTTTTTGTACCATACCATTAGACATTGAGGACCGCTTCATGGGCTGAAGAAATTTCTTTCCCTGAAAGCATTTCGTCTCGTATTCATGGATAATTCTGTTGAACAGTTGTAGGTAGCTATCATATTAACACACGTAAAGTAATAAAGAAGCAAAAATCAACATTAAATGAGAGTATTTCGTGGGACTGAGACAGATATTGTTTCAAGACAACAGCCAAAATCGAACGGATTCGTTCACTTGCAAAAAAATCTTATTTTACAAAAAATGCGTGCTAACTTTTTCAAACTCGTGCTTGGACTACACACGAGAGAAAATATACACCAGTTTCCGCTTCCTAGACACAAAAAGATGAAGATACATTTAAAATTAAACTATTCTTGACTTTACATTTTTAGCGACTTCAAAGATAAGCCACAAAAAATAAGCCGATGCAAAGAGAGCAGGCAGCCAGCAAATTGTCAGAGAATTGTGTTAGTTGCTCAAAGTTTTGCCAAAGCATATCCGGGTTTAGCAAATCGAATGACATCCTGGAGGAAGAAGCAAGGGAGAATTTCTTCACCAAGCCAGCTTGTCTGATGCGCCAAAAAATAAACGTATAGTACCTACACGTGCGACTTCGATAAGCGGTCGTAACGCAGCAATTCTATTTATAGTGCAGTTATAGAAATAAAATGGGTCGCACATATAGAATTTCGAAAATTTTGTATTTACCAGGTATGAAGGCTAAAGACGACTTCATTCAATTTATCTCCTTCAAGGTAGCATAAATGAACACGTTTTACTTTTTTATTAATTTAAATGCAAAAGAACAAATACTGATATTATCGTTCTTTGTCTACGTGAGACATGACCATTTTTCCTATTGCATGTTTAGTCTCACTTCCTTGGTTTTGCCGAGCAACTGTTCTGCAGACAACCAGGTAACTAGAATACATTTTTTATATCTGAATAGGAAAACGCATCCCATTCATGAGATGCCTGTATTATGAATTACAATACCTAGCCACAGAAAATAATCCTCAGGGTAATCATTTATCTCACGCGCATATAATTTTTTCGGACGGGTTTTTACTTTTCAATCAACGAAATGAGGATTTTTCTATACCGAAAAGAATGAAATGATTTTGCAAGGATTCTTGACGAATCATCCAATCATCCAATACCGGAAATAAATCAAGATCTATGAACGAATGTTCTAAAAGCAAAATTGACAATTACATTACTAACTATTTCAGATGATTTCCAGATTGTGCGCGCTTAGTGCAGAAAACATGTTGATGTTTTATCGAAGATAAAACATCAAAGTCTGCCTATTGCGAGTTAGAAAATAGAAACTCGGATCGAAAAGCTAGACTTTGATGACGAGTTCAATAATTAGTGATTGTGATAACATCCCGAATTAGACGCGCTGTGCTGAATTTTCCGATCACGATGCCTCCTGATTTTAGGCATATGATAAAAGAAGTACACGAACAGAAGGTATTAAACGCTAAACGCATAATTTATCATCGAGAGCCTCCAAATAAAGAAATGAAATTAGAATTAGAAGATTTACAATATTATAGTTGGTCTTTTAGACTCTAGCGTGTCAAAACCGACTAGATTCTAACAAACTTTGATCGTTGCTCCATAACGGCAAGACTTTGACTAACAACTATAGAAGCGATAATTATAACATTAAAAGTAAGCAAACGAAGAAAATTTTGCTTAGCTTCTATAGGCTACAGGTGATTGTGAGCGCAAAAATATACCAAGGGGTTAATACCTCGATTAGTCATTCACCTCGTGGAAGACAGTTAATGAAGACGTCTTGGAGCTATAGTTCACTAGAATAGTTCACGTACGTATAGTATCTGCACTATTCAACCGGATAATTGGGCTTTATTGCACAATAAATGGGATTTTTCAATAGTTTTAGTAGCTTTAACAATTACAATAGCATTCTGAAATGTCCCGGAGATCGTTATTGGGCCGGAGATGACGACGGAAATATATTGCGGGTAAACTGCGGAATTGTGCCTCACTTCGCCGCCTACAAATTAGCAACATTTAATTTTGAAAACCGAGGTCTCTTTTGAGCCCACGCACATATCAACAATCATCATACAAAAACTTCAATAGTTAGGATCTAAAAGAATGATCTAAACATTTTTCAAAGTAAAATTAAGAACACATCAATAAAATATTGAACTACAATAAAATTAACATAATTAAACCATCAAGATATTTGCAGTGTTGGTCTCTAGCTCATAAACGAATTATTTTTATTCGAGAATAATTTCCGTGTTTGTAACAGCAAAATAACAGCTTTCATCACACGCGACCTCGACAACTTGTTCTATTGTCATCCGAAGCTTGTATATACATATGATGATAAAGATTCAAGGTTATTTGGTGCAGCCGGAACTCGTGCACAGAGAATGCAAAATGCGCGCAAAATTTAATCAAGAGAATTAATATTTCATTTCTTGTGGTTTGGGGACATCTCTAGCAATCATTCCTGACTCCAGGCAATTATGCTTTTTCGCATGTGAAATGATATTCTGCTGTGAGAGCCAAAGTGTTTTAGGACATAAGAAGTGACATAACATTAGAAGCGAAAATGTATTCACGGTCGCATTTCGGATGAGCCTTTTGATAGCGTAAATGTGTTAGCAGAGCAAATAAATTGCATTTTAACCGAATTTTCGTCTTCAATGTGGAAAGAAGTAAAGGAGAGAGCTAAACACCAAATATATAAAGAATAAGTATAATTAAGGAGAGCTAAACAATAAGTATATAACCCTAGCGACAGCAAAACATATGCAACTACAAAACACACCAACTTCAAATAAAAAGCAATAGATAAAAGATATCTGAATAACCATGAGCAATACAACTGGTTTTTTAATGCGGCGTTTATACTGAACTCAAGGGGACACCGAAAATGACCAATTCCAACACCGAAAATTTCACACAAAATCAATGTGTGTACTCACGCGTGCCGTCGAAACGAGTCGCGATGGTATCCAAGAAAGTGTTCTGCGGGGCTAGCAGCCCGCGCCTGTTCACCATCTTGCACTGGTTTTTCTTCTCTGTCTTACAAATGTTGCTCCCGAACTATACCGTTTTAAATACGGCAGTACTGTCTTACTGCACTCAGAAACACTTATCTTTTTCCACCAAAATTTTTGAACATGTTCTCTTTGTAATTTCTTTGCAATTACAACAAGTTATTATTCAAATTATATTTATCACTAATTTTCTTTTTTAATTTCATTCATTCTTTCACTTAGCAATAAATCAATTCTCAACTGTAAAAAGTTAGTTTTTCGTCCATGTTATCTTTCATTTTAGCGTCATTTACAGTGTATGTAATTATCGAATTTTTTTAACGCAGTCACGCGCAATTTGCACTACGCTATCTACACGCACTAATTGCTTCTCATTAGGAGCACTCGGTTTCCGTTCACTAATTATCTTAAATTTTTGGGTGACGAACAATAATTGAAGCAATTTTATACACATTCACTAGTCGTTTTATCGTATACTAAACCGCAATGAGCACGCCTACATCGGCTGACAATCTAATTAGCACTAGAGCCATCACCAGCATTTATCATCACTATGGAATCGAGTTGATTTTTTTATATTTTTGCACCAATGTTTTGATTTTTGGAATGTTTTAACATTTGCTCCATTCAGCACGAGAGAAAGATTATGGAGTTAATTTATATTACTACAATTTTTTAATTTCCGCTGAAAAATAGGTGCTTCCACTCTATATTACAGCCTTTTACAATTTTTAATTACGTTGCAAATAAATAATATCTTTGATACACAAAACAGTGATAATCAATACATGTTCAAGTCAGAGACAATAACTTGCAAGCATGAGAAAATCACATTTCGCAAAAGTTAGCATAATAAACTTTATAATCTTCAGGAATTAATTTCGTGTTAACAGCAACACTAATATGGATGCGCACAGCAATTGAGGTTAAGGCCATACGGAGACAAACATAACTAAGATCAGGAGCTCAGCTCACGAATCTTTGGGAGTTTAATATAGTAGATATTCTGACGTGGTTCACAACCGCACAAGGGTTTAAGCAATCAAGGCTTTTTTCGGCCGTGAAAAAGCATACGTAATCGCTCACATCAACGCTTTATACACAATTTATTTCACAATAAACATCTCGAGAACATTAAGCAACAATAACGCTAGTAATAACAATTATATCGCTAGAAACACTTCTAACAGCAACACGCAAACAGTAACACTTCTTGCACTGTATATTTATTAATTAATTCAGCCTGCACAGTTTTGTCTCAGTACTAGATTTTTTTTTTATTATCCAGAATTTAAATTGAGAAAACTTCAATTGTTGAACGTAATTTTCCGATAACGCTTTCAGTGATTCCAGAGTTGAACAATTCACAGCACATCGCGTTAAAGCTAAACTGTCTCTTAAATGAGGGTCACATGACAGATTACATACACGAGCTGGCAAGAAAAAAAAATTATCATTTTACTTATGATGAATCACATATAGTTTCCTGCTGTCGATTAAGTGCAAATAAAGACCTAAAGATATATTTGCAATAAAACCTTACTGATGGAAAATCAATGCAACTCCACGAATTTTTGAATTCCACGAATTTTATTCGACTTTATACAGCCACAAATGTTCGTTCCCGGTTGCACTGATCATGATTCCAAGTTGGTATTTAAAAGATGAGCATTTCTTCAAGACGTAGGTACATCAATATTTGATAGCACCCAAAGTAACCCATTTCAGGGCATCCGAAGTGAAAGAAAAGTCTGAAATGAGGCGTAGAGTGAGGAGGCAGTTTCGGGACCCAAGTTTACCTGAGGCCCGACGATACCCAAACATTCTGGCGATGAAATTGGGTCCACCTAATCATTCTAAGTCTATCAAATTACTATAAATACTCGTTATTAAGTTCCTTGTCCACGTTATTAGCATCTACGGCGACTTAAATAATATAATTATATAATTAGGAATAGCATGAGGGCACTTATAATCCAAAAATCGGCTAAAAATCACTAAGTGCAGTGGAATCCATAACCTCCCTTCAAAGACTTCAACCTCTTACGAAAATTAGAAACTAAATGCGGCTGAGGAACATGCAGTGGGGATGAGGAACGTGCAGTGAGGATGAGAAACATGCACTGGGGATGAGGAACATGCAGTGGGGATGAGGAACATGCAGTGGAGATGTGAAACATGCAGTGGAGATGTGGAACATGCAGTGGGGATGAGGAACATGCAGTGGAGATGTGGAACATGCAGTGGGGATGAGGAACATGCAGTGGGGATGAGAAATGTGCAGTGGGGATGAGAAACGTGCAGTGAAGATGAGAAACATGCAGTGGGGATGAGGAAAATGCAGTGGGGATGAGAAACATGCAGTGGGATGAGGAACATCCAGTGGGGACGAGAAACGTGCAGTGAAGATGAGAAACATGCAGTGGGGATGAGGAACATGCAGTGGGGATGAGGAACATGCAGTGGGGATGAGGAACATGCAGTGCGGATTATGAATAATGAGCAATGGGATAAGCTCTCTGCTTAGAAGCTCTCTTTTTATTTCGACAAAATCAATTGTTTAAGAGCGTAGACTTTTTATGCACGTTAGGTCGTCTTCTTCTGCCATCGCTACTAGCTCGAGAAACAAGGCCCCGTTCCTTAATTAAAAGGATTCGAAACGGTTCTTGTGGTTTTCGAATGACAACTGAAACGGGTTTCGAAATCCTCGGGTTCAGCTGCAAGCCGTAGCCTTGACCTTATGACCTTATGATGAGTTTAGGACTTCTCAGTCCATATAGTCAAGCTGATGTTCCGCCTTCGTTGCCCTCCGTCTCCGAGTCGTCGCGAGGCATGTCACCCCGCCCTCGGGTCCCAGATGTAACGTTGAACGTGTTCCGTATATTTGCCCTCCTTTGGGCTAGCTAATGCAAGATGCTGTTGCTTATTACTTGCTTAGGGTAGTTTTCCATTACTGGACAATCAGGGATCTTCTTCAGAAACTTATCCAGTTGCCTCTTGAAAGTCGTAGAGGTAAACTCCATTCCTCTCAGCACCTTTGGTAAGGCGTTAAACAGCCTTGGTCCTACCACGGACAGTGATCCCTCACGAAGAGTCTACTCTGTCCGCGGCATGGTTATTGGCCTTGTTATGAGTGGTAAGGTCTTTATGCCATGTCCTTAATATGGATGGTCCTTGCTAATAGATTTCATACAATAGAATTGTTCTTATATTAAGCCGACTTTACTTCTAAATTCCGAAATATTAAGATATTCACGTTATATAAAATTTTGAAATATAATAAACCACCTCTAAAACGATGCGTACAATCTGGCATCCCGGTAAGCCAGATCGACACAGTTCATTTCGGTCCAGCGCACCACAAGCGAAGAGCCTCATTTATCGACTCCTCCGAATTGGGAACACTACTATTGATGCTGATGAAAACTCTTGCACGTTTTCATCTGCAGCTGTGCATCCATAAATGAAGTTATAAATAGACGAATAACTTCACGCTAGCTGTCTATACTCTATGGTCACTCAAATATTGATATCATCTATGAACTAGCCCGAGGTCGTAGGATAAATTGCATTTCATTTGAATGGACAAAATTACGTAACAGAAATTAAGCAAATAAACCTCAACACATTTCAGCTAGCAAAAAACCTTATTTGGCAGCACTTCTTGCATCGAACGTATTGTTGGCCATTGGACTGAATCAGTTTTAAAAATAACGGATTTTAAAAAATACACAGTTATCACGTCGGGTTATACAGTTACCAACATTTACGGAGCTTCCCTAGTATTTTGAATCATCAATCAGAACCTGGGAGACTGATTTTGGCTGCCTAAGTCGTATGCGAGTGCACGTATCGTATTGGACCTACGAGTCATATACCAGATTTTCCTTCTATATTTAGCAGATATTTTGGTGCTGATCAAGTTAACAGACTGGATCGATCTTGAATATACGAACCGCCATTCATATAATTCAGCCCTGTATGTGACACTTTCATTCTAGCAAAAAGTTGCAATTCAGTGACAATCCAGGATAGCTAGCTAACTGATAATCCTCAAAAATCGGATCGGAATTGGAATGGCTAGGAGAGCTACGTATCAAATAAAATTATTTTAAAATTCTGTTATTAGCGCTGAGAATAAAGTTGACTTATATTTGTAGCCGAAGTAAAATTTAATAAGCCTAAGGTTCCATAGATCATAGCCAGCCACATATAAATCTAACTTATTAGTTATTACTAGCCTAATAAGAGCAAATAATTCAACAATTGATCAATCCAATTACTAGCGAATCGATCAATCACACTATAAGTTCTACATTTTCATTTTTTAGATAAAATTAGATGCACGGGGAAAAGTTCCTTCTACAGACTAAACACTTACAAAGTTTAGCAGGAATTGGGGTAGCTAGGTAAGTTTTCAGCCAGCAACTGCATAGCATCGCTATCAACAGGTCCTCCAGAGAACTCCTGATGTGCTCGGAGTTTCAGGAACCTAAATATTTACCGCATCAATTAAGAATATCTCACTTTTGTTTGCATTAAAACCGCATCATTTGCGGAAATGTTCATTCTTAACAGGCACTTCCATACAGAGATACAGCTCACCAGCCCAAGGACGTGACACAACCTCATCGCACCGCTACCTAACATCAACTGATTTGTGTATAAGAGTTAAGAGATATACCATTATACCTTAGTAACCTTACCCTCCCAACTTCCGGATAGCTTACGGATTAACTTATGTTATAATTTTAACTAGTAACATCAGTTAAATAATTTCTGTACATGTAACACCTAGAAACACTAGTGAATACTGCATATCCATATCATACATTCAGGCTGAAAAGAATATCATAATCGCTCCTGCAAGCCTGGATAGGTTCATCTGATTTATAAGAAACACTTGCTCCGCTTTTATTACAAACTATGAATTTATAGTTTTCAGAGGTAGATATACCATCTATTAGGTTCAGTTGGCTATATTATTTAATTTCTTTCCATTTCCGCTAATAATTATTGGCGCAACATTTTCTATTTAGCGATTTTTTTTTCTTCCTTGGGGTTATGAAAAATGCTAAATAATTACAGGTTCATCTTTAACATGAACCAGCTCAAGTACAAAAATCCTACCTGCCATTTTTAATGATAGGTTCCTCAGTGAACTTTCTTACGCCAGCATTAGGTTAAATCCGCAAATAATAGCAACAGTTGTTCACTTAGAAGGTTACTGAGAGATTTAGGTGCGGGAGGCACGGCTAGGCATTATTACTGTTAGGATTTGCAAGGAATTGGGATGAGGAATTTCGCTCATGGGTACCTGCCCTACGCGGACATGTAGAGCGGGTGTTTTGGCATGGTAATCGAATACAATTTCGTTACGTAATTCAATATATCCTCATCACCTGCGCCTGTGGGGACTGCTTCAACTGAGCCACAGAGGCTCGCGCCAATTTTCATCAACGATTTAGACTGTTGAAGGTAAATAGCGTTAGATGGAATAGTTTACCGTTTTCTTGTTGATTTGTTACCCTGATTTTCAAAATCAGCTTCATCGGTTTTCATAAATAACGCACGCCGTTATTTATGGCTCAGACAATCTATTCTATAGCTGCGCTTTTGATCTTCACGATGGTGATCATTTAGTTTTAGTCCTTATGCAGTAATCGCGATAACCTGCGATCTTCTTTGATATAATTATTTTGTCCTAATAAGGCAATCTCGAGTCGCTTTCAATCTTCTCGGTTATAATTATTTTGGATCGAATATCGTTCGCCTCCGTTCGCCAACTATGATTAAATTCGGGATTGTTTCGAAATTTTTCCTCCAGGAGACATAACCTGGAAATCTGAACTCACTATAGTTGCCGTGAATGAGCTATAAATGTATTATATAGTCAGAGAGACGAGAGCTTGGTATAGACAGCATTTGTATTCCAATTCCTTTTTTCAACCCAAAATCGATATTGCGTCGTCGATCTAAGATCAATCTGTGAGAGCGCCAAGCACCGAGTAATTTCCAGTTTCCAAACTAATTTAGCTGAAGTATTTTTTAGTCTCAATTTTCCAGCAAGCGATTGTCAGTTTGCACATTTTCGAGTGAACCTGAAAATCGAGAGGACTCAGAGGAGTCGATATGTGACTCGTAGCAAAGTGATTATGAAAGCATATAAACAGATATTCGTAGTCCACTCATGAGCCCGGTGCAAGTCTCGTGAAATTTCAACAATTCAACTCGTGAATTTACTCACCCAAAGGGTTGCTCCGAATAAATAGGTGGTCAAAATATGAATAAATTATCACTATTCGACATGATCATTGTATGTTCAGAGTATAATTCCTTTTATGCATTTAACGACGGTTACCTTGCAGAGAGTTCCTCCGCACTGAGAGATGTAATATGTAAAGGAAAACAAATTTGATTGGATTGATGTTAAAGCCCAGATCGTAATCATGATAATTGATTTCATGGTGATTTTTTATAATTGATTGGACGCATTTGAGAATCCGACGCCCAAATTACATTAGCTTTGCTCTTTAATAAAAATAGCATTGCAAGGGATTAATTGATTCAAATTTAGAATAGGTAGAAAATCAATTTGCTTATTGATTTAAAAAAATTGATGTTAAATCGCACGACTTCGCTGATGCATCACGAAACGCGTTTTTTTCCTGCGCATGGATATTTTTCGGAATAACGGCCTCTTCCCGTCAACCAAAGTAATTAAAACGATTGCAATTAGGCGTCTCGTTTAAACTTCTGTACGAGCGTCGCACGAAGCTGGAAACAACAGCGTTCTGAACAAGCCACTCCTTTAGCTTTGTACAGAGCGCTTGATAATCATAGTCTATTTATGCGATGGCTTCAGCAGTGTTTTTGTGCTCTAAATTGTGTGTGAAAACTTGTCAAATTGGATTTTTAATGGATCTGTAGATAAACTAATGGTTTCTGCATAATAAGTAACTTGAATGATGAGAGTTACATCAATCAACGCACACTAAAAAACAAGCGCAACAAATTTATCATACCTGTTCATATATATTCCAGGATAATTTTTGACATCACTGGCAGTAATCAGAAATTATTATTATTTTTTTAATTATGTAGCTTCTTGTAAAAATTCCTGGAGGAAGGACAATCAAATTTTTTAACACTACTTCCGGTTTCCGAATACCGCATAAGAATACTAAACGAAATGAAGGACAAAAAACTTTATAGTTAGCATATGTAAATTGTAATCACTTCGAACGTCAAACATATGACGTAACGTTTCAATTAGAAAATTCAAGGGTCTTTAGCATACCATCTGCCGAAAAGAGCTACAGTCATGGTATTGTATGTACCCTGGTCTGATGTCATTGTGTACAACGAATCATTCACAGAATTCACAGAGTAAACAGAATTTGGGATCAAATTGAAGTCGCGTGTGAGCCCCACAGGAAAAACAGTTTCACACGAAAAATTCCCCTGCATGTTGAAAGGCCCGAATGTGTCTTGCGGAGGTTCGAAAAGATCGAGCCGGGCACACGTCCTCCAGTTCTCTGATTCGCACCAAACTACTGCACAAACTTGTTCATAAATCTGGTATATATCTCCTCCCTTCTTAACCACTCCGCTGTACGTAAGGAGTTGGTAGGTCAGGTTACTGCTCGAGTGTTCGTATGTCAAATGACAGCACAAGCCGTCATCGTGGCATTGCGAAACGCTGTTGGTTTCTCCGGTCTCCGTTGGTGGCAGGACCATTCGCTCATAAATCGATAGGTCTTCGTGAAGCGTTCGTTGCTGACGGGGCTCCTTATTACGGTTGCCGGACGAGATCTAAAAATGTAAAAACAACTATTAGCGTGAACACTAAAAATCTGTGCTTGAAGGAAAGACAACGCAAATAGAAATAATATCTATAGAGAATGTCTATTCCAAATGTCACTAGTGATTGCAAAACAAAAATGTTTCATTGTTACATGTTCCTTTCCCCTAAAGAATGCCATAACTACACAACGCGAAACAAACTAATTCAATATTTACGACATTTTGAAATTAAAGCGTTGGCAGAAAGGGTATCATGCAAAAAGTTCGTCTAAACTCACAATTAAACACCTATAACTGCCCCCAAGGCGCTTCGTATTTCAAATTAATTACTTCAAACCCCATTCGCGCCTTGACGTCAGTGGTAAGCGAAACTTTTATCGAAATATTTGGGCTCACAAAATCATCTGGCAAAATTTCTCCTAAATTCACAACTATTGTTTTATTTATCGCAATACTGGTTTTATCGATTTATTTTTCCTCTACAAATACGTCACTTACGTCAAGCTTTATAGGTCGTGTGATGACAGGCAGATTTTTGTTCCTAAGATCTTTGGTTGTGGTGGGAGATGTTTTGCATGAGGTCACCGGGAAGACAACGAGTTCGTTACCAGAGTTAGGATCGTAGGAGTAAAGGTTGTTTAGGTCTGAGTATCCCCTGTACACGCCTGAGCCCAGCTTGGTGTGCTCAGGCCAGTGGTAGCCAGCAACCATCAGGTTCACGCCTAGACCGCGACTCCAACCATTTTGCACCCCAATCGCTGCCATACAAATTTAATGGATAAATATCGCATTTAAAGCGCTCAATTATGTATTATTTGCCATCAGTAAAGTTAAAAAACAGTTAAATATTTTACTATAATTTTGTACAAAAAATATTAGCAGAAACAGATTTAAACTTTAGAAATTTCTAATAATGTGATTTTATTTCATCAAGATCTTTGGTCTTTACAGAAACCATCAAAGAGTCTAAATTTATTGACCACCAGAAGACATCACGCGAGCGTCAAATGAAATTATTTGTACTAGTTTGGCACTATTATTTATTTATTTATTACATCACCAAATTTATAAAAGAGCCGTGGCGAATATAACTAAATTTTAGACTAATAATAAAAAATCAAAAGAAAATTTTAATGTCCTCTTGTGTTCAGTAAACGGACATGAATCATTGCAGCGCTATATCATGACACTTGGTGATTATTAGTGATTATTCAAGAGATAAGATAACTTGTTATGAAAGAAGATTAGTACAACAATAGAATGCTCTATGTCCATTTCCTATAAGAATAAAGTTTTCCAAATGGTCTTCATTAAGATAACTATCTTAATCCATATTACCAGTTCCTCACCCAGTAAAAATGGTGTTTCATCCACCCAAGCCGTGCTCATCACAACGTCCCGTACTCCCTCCTCCATGATGTTCGTGTAGGCAGGATGCAGGAAGGATATGTCGAAACATACCTGAGAATTTCAAATTAATATATTGTTATTCCCGAAACAGCATTTTTTAGAAATCATATAAAGTAGAAATAGCTTATTGATTTATTTTGCAAAGTTTAGTCTCTGCTCGATTAATTACAATCTTCAATGAATAAACCTCAGCCGAATTTGAATTCCAGTACTAAAAATTATGTATTATAGCATTATACAGTATGCACATCGGCAACTGTCTCTATCTTGTCTCATAATATTTACTCAGCTACATAAACATCAGAGAAATTGAAGTATAATTAAAATACTATAAGATGGATTGGAGAAACGAAACCGTACATCACCGAAATTTGCTCTGAATTCTTCAATTAATGTTTTTATTACACATCCCTTCTCTTGTGTGAGGTGAATTTTGTTAAGGTCAAAGCAACCTGATGCGCGGTTCTCAAGCCGATACCTGAAGGGAAAATTTGACCCCGAAGTCGGTAGTGAACAAAGCTGTCGTGTCGTCCATCGGGCCAGGAACGAACTGTGGCTCCAGATACAAATTTTGCTTACGGTACCTAAAGAAAATTAACTGGCTCAGCCCAGCGATGTTTAATAACGCATCTCAATCAATCCACTTTGCCACAAAATCCATCAGTTTTTTTTTTGTGGTGACACACTCAATTATATCATTCAAGTTACGTTACTGTATTATTCTATTTCAATATCTTCATATTCAGTTTTTTGCGACCACATCCATTTCAATTGGTCAGGTTATGTGACGCATTACTTTTTAAACTAAGTTATTCGTGTTAGAACTTACGGATTATCACAATCAATATTGTAATCAATAGAGACGGTCATTTATTTAAAAACATTTTTTTTCCTTTTACCATAATCTTTTCGAAATTAATACATCAAGCCTTAAATCATGCGCAATTTGATATTACGCATTTTATAGATTACTAGACTAAAATTTAGCTAAAATTTCCAAAGCAGGTATTAAGTATCGAAAATAATCTGGCAATAATCATACTATGTCCAAAATAAAATCTAAATTTCATAATTAATCGAATTTTAAGTTATGACACACACTTTCGGCTGTAGAAGATCTCAGGGTTACCGCTGTGTCAGTATGAATCCCTTAGAGATAAACACTAACTTACGTGTTTCACCTCCTCAGTTTTCGTTCTTTTACTTCACCGTTTAACTAATTTTATGATGCCAGTTAGTTTACCATCCATGATGGTTAACTAACTGGCTTGAAAACGAACATTAATTGGTCCTTATTTTAACCTTCAATTTGATTTTGAGCAGGGAATACACTATTTCGTGCAATATTCATTTGAAAGTATTGCGTTCTCCCCCACAGCAATATTCATTATTCCTGTATGATTCTTATACACAGTTACTCTCATTGAGAAATAATTGTTTGATTATGAACAATTACCTTGCTATGACGGTGCCGGCTCGGTCAAAGACCACCTGAGTGTTGAAGAAAGATAGTCCGTCCGCCTGACATGGTGCCTGAGAGGTGTTGCAGGCCGCCTGCTCGGCCAGGTCTATCACGAGGTACATCTCCAGCTCCAGCGCCATGCAGCTCAGGCTCCGTATTGCCTTGCAATTATTCAAAACATTACTAAAGATCAAGCTAAATAAATTACAATAGATTAGAGGAAAGCATTTATCCTTTCTGCATGATGCTATATTATTAGAACGAGTCTTCACTTGTGAGTCCTATGCTCTGATCGACAACACTGAAACAATAAGTAATGAAACAAGCCCCGTGTCACAATAAAAGGAACAAAATCTAGGCAAACTGCTGGATCTTACGATGAAGTTCGCGACTTGGCCGTCAATGGCACACGGCACGACCCTCAGTGATGGGTCAGGGATCTGTTGAGTCAGCGACTGGAATCTGACGGAGTCGTTGGTGTACATATCGAGACTCTGGACGCCGTACTCAGGGGCCACAAAGATGTCGGCGCCCTGCAAATATAAATGCTTATTTTGTTCGCATATTCTTGGTTAAAGAATATTTAAAGACAAAATTTAAAAATGCTTTGGTGACACTTCTAATTTATTCGCTTGCAAGCTTATATATATAAATGGCATGAATTTATTTGAATTTTCAAGTACTTCAAACTCGCTATACTGTTAAAATTGAAATGATACGTCAAAACTCACGTATTCTTTAGCCATTTTGGCAGCTTCGTAGATGAAGTCTACGTTGGTCATCAAAATGTCGTCGCCCGACGATGCGTTGCTCCAGTCCTTGTAAGGCTCGTACTCCAGCACCGCTGCCGTGTACCTAACCTCATCACCCACGGCGCAGTCCTCCAACGTGAACACGCGCTTTTCTTGGCCGCTTCTCGCAGGGAAGGCGGACAAACTTGTTCCTAGAACTACCAGGATAATCACACAGCGAAGCATCATGGTTATATATAAAAATTACAGATCTACAATAATCAAATGCAGATGTACATTTATGCCGCAATCTTGAATGGAGTTTGTGAGATCGATTCCTAATTAGGGTTATGGATATTTTCCCGCTGAGCCTCGTTTTACTATCCGTACGTCGTCAATTCAAACGCATAAATTCTGATGCACTGTTCTTTCATAATCGTAAACCTTTGATGCTTCGAGCTGCCTTGCTAAGACTTGAGCATTGCCAGATCTAAGCTATTACATCTGACTGTTGTAAACAACATGTGCTGGGATCCCCATGGCTTAACTGCAACTCAAGCTTCTAAATTATCATCACAACAAGAATTTCTCACAGTCAAGTGACTAACCTGACCTCGGTCCTCTTGGTAGCAAGGTCAAAAGGGTTTATTCTAAATTTGCCAAAGGATAGCGGTTTCATGCCGCTCGTGTCATCGTGTTTTGCTGACAATTCTGTTTCCTTTCGTGACCTTTGTCTATTATCATTTTGAAAATGAAAAATTAAAATGTTATTAGTGGTAATAATATTATTTTGAATAAATATTTTAGCCTCCGCAGATCGAACGATAACGTTATATAATCAATATATCTGTGAGTTTATCGTCGGCTGCAACGTGTGGATGATAGTGACAACACGTAATCAATTAATAAAAAATAATGGTATAGTTTTTTCCAGGATTGCGTCGTTTTCACCAAAATATGCGCGGACGCATGTGCGGTACGTTGGATATTGCTATTACACGTACCACTGTCAGACACCAAAAAACGCTACGATCATACATATATTTGTCAGTATATATAAAAATCAACAACGCGTAAACGACTAAAATTTAGATTTAATTTTCTGTTTATAGTGAATAAATTTGTACGAATTGGAACAAACGAAAGCAAGATAAAAGCTTGTACCCACAATCCCATGTAATATAGGAGCTGATGCTGGATCCTGAGAGAAATAAGTAACAAAAAAAATAGAAACAAAGAAGGGCTAAATTTTAATTTTGTAATTCATAATTCTTGATAACAGGTTCCGTCTTAAGAGTCGATATAGTATAGATCACATATCGAATAAAATCCCTTCTGGGGGTAATAATTATAAACAGCGGGTTTTCTAAAGAATCGGCTAAAATTTTAAAATTTTTGTCGTTTTCTTTCGTGAACTATTTTCTTATTCCACGGAGACTACGATATTATAACATGTTTCATGATGAATCATGAAATTATAAAAATGAGAGTAATACATTCAAACGACGTTATTATTGTATACGCATGCATTCTCAATGAAGCAAAGGATGAACACAAAATCTCTAAATTCAGAAACAAGACCGTCGTACTTAATCATGTTAATGTTAATCAGCAGATAAAATATTACACGCTTCCAGAATCCAGTCATGTATGAACTGAAGTCAGTTTAGAGGTTAATGTATGGAAAAGTCTAAAGCTTAAGAATTTCAGGTTTCTTACTCAAAGCGATTCGTAGCGATTCTCTTACATTTGAGATCTTTCCATGCTAGGTTTTTGTGTAGATTTGCATCCTTTAATGCAATGCTTTTGGCAAACTTTATGGATCTGCTGGTCCAGTTTAATTTTTCAAAAAGTACTATTGAGCAATAATAACCGATTTGCAATACTGTTCATATAGTTTTCTCAGAGCAAAAATAATTTTTTTAACGCTATAAACTCATTTCGGCATTTAGGGGAGCGTCTATGTGATGAAAAAAAAAACTTTTTTATTTACTGACGGATCACTTTGAAACTTGGTACACCTATGTAAAACAGAATTCTAAGACTTTTTTGTTCGTGCAAATTTTTCGAAAAAAAAATGAAAGAAAACGTGAAATTCTTAGCAAACGGCCAAAAAGGGGGTACTGTAGAAACGGCAAAAAAGGGGCTACTGTCTCCTCCTAGGATTTTCAAGCTACAACATCGAGACGCAGGGAGCGCAACGGAGCACCGACCCACGCAGGGAGCGCAACCGAGCACCACCAATTTTATGCACCAATAAGCCCTGAATCGGACGCCTTGGATCTCTCCGGACATCCACCAATCAGCCGTGCACCACTCGGCTTTGTCCTCCTCCGGCCTTGACCACCACCTGCCGTGCACCACCAGGCCGCGGATCGAATCTGACTTCCGGGCATCGTTAAATTACGTAATTTTACGTTCACCGCATCTGAGGTTAGGTTTCAGATAGCATAGTTCTGTTCCAAAATTTATCGACCTTCGACAAGTGGCCGTTCGACCGAGGGCTGGTTCGACCCACGGCCTAGATACGGACGGCTTGAAGTGTTGAAGGCTACGTTCCCGAAGGCAGGAATCATGATGATCCAATACATCCAGGGCAGTTGTGGTCTTCGGCAGGCGACCCGAGACGCATATCATTCGATGCGCAAGGACCATATCTATCGATTTGTCGTAGCTTTTTCTGAAATTCAAATTTTTGCGGATGTGGGAGCATTTTTCGTAAAATTTTCTAAAAATTTTCGATTTCCTCCTTTTTTCCCACTTTTTTCGAAATATTTTCAAAACTATAACGAAATTGAAAAAAGCTACAACCAATCTCTAGATCTTTCATTTGCAAATCGAATGGTATATCTCTCATTGCTGTAGCTTCAAAAATGTAGGAGGAGATATTTTTCCAGTGACAATAAGTGTGATTGTTCAGTAGAGCCCGACAAAGTCCCGGGTCCCTCGAAATCGGCATTCAAGGTTGCAAGGATGCAAGACCAGACAATGCTGCAGCTAAATCTCTGTCAAGGATGGTGGGAAAAACAGAATGCAAACCATCCCTTACGACTGTTGAAGGGTTACTGGATCGGAGAGTGTGAAGACTAACTATTTAAGGTGCACTGAGGCATTTACTCTCTATGTTAAATGTTAAAGAACTCCACCAACCATTCCGCGCTCTGTCGTGCACGCATAAATCCACGTACAGAGATGATTTTGGTACCGTCGGATAGGTCAGAATGTCAGCTTTAAGATGAAACTAAAAACCGGAAAAGTCAAAATGGTCGATTCTGGACATAGACGCTCCCATTAACATTTTCTAAAATTAAATATAATGTTCACGATTGAATTCATTTGCGTTTGAAAATTTCAACTCAAGATATTTTAGTCTCTGTTAAAGAGGGCTGAACTAATGAATAATACAGAGGAATGGATTCATTCATACAATGCTCTCTTAATTTTGACAATTATAATCTTATAAAAGTATATAAGATAACTTTCAAGGATGGACACAAAGACCCTAACATAATATTCTTCTAGTAGTGCCACTCTTAATTAGGTTTTCCTGATAAATTAAAACTAAATGAGTGAAGGCATCCCGCAAAAGAGGTATCAATATGAATTTCAAATACTTTTTTCGTATTCTATTAAATTTCAACTTCCCAGTGAATCGGAGCACACAAACGTCCGCTTTTCTCCTAAGGTAATTTTTTTCTATCAGAATATAATTGTGCTTTCCGAATCAACCAAACATTGACTTGAAATCCAAAACAGCCACTTACTTATTACTTGATATAAGAAAAATCTATACATTATATTTGCAGAGATCAAGCTCCTTAAACCTATTAATAAATTTTAGCCTATAGTTTGATCAAGTGCCCAGTCATTAAATAAGGAAGTTGGCATTCAAACCATTGCGCGGGTAAATAAATTCTGAAGTTTATTAGGTAACCTCATAACGAGGTTCTTGGTTGTTATGCCTCTAAAAAATTAATTATTCAAATTCCGCTGACGAAAACCAGGTAATGATCAATAGAAATTTAAAATTTGAATAAAGCAATTTTGTTATTTTAGGATATCATTCAACCAGATTTAAATAGAGGACAGAGAAACGAAATTCTGTTTTCGGTGTACCTAAAAATTCTGCATTTGGACGAGTTCCAGCGTTCATGATAGGGCATTTCTGTACATGTGTACAATGTACATGTGTCTGCAATCTACAACATAGTAATAAAAACCCTGACGAAAAGGTTCAAGAATTTCATGAGTAGAGTGAAATCTTTATTTGTAAAAATTTGTACAAATAGAGTAAGCCGGTTCCTTGATTGCTCTTGTTCAAACATTGAATGTTTAATATAATGAAGGAAATATCCATTAACAGTTCAGCTTTCAGAAGCTCACTAATGGTGTACACACAGAAAAATATGTCTCCCGCATTGGCCAGCACGTTACATTGAAAGCCCATTCTTAAACAAATATTGCGGTGAACAGCGATACGGGAATTCCTATTCCATATATCAGCTGAAAATGTTAACGCTAAGATCTGTCGGACATTACAATTTTTTGCAGTAACTGATAAACATTCTCGATCCATCCTGCAGAAGCATCGTAACTAAAAATTCGGAAAATACGTGTTTTTAGCGGTCACAAATCATGAAATTCTCAGAATAGCTCGAAACAAAGATTCGTGCACAATTCTGCCATTATGAATAAGTCGGTGGTACCAATTTAGAAAATTCAACAACGCTTGTAGACGACTGCTTGGTGTACCTGAAGCGTCATTGTAGCTACTGCAATAATTATGAGTTACACTAAATTCAAAGCCAAAAAAATTAAGCAACAACAACTTGCAACAACTGCCTGAAAATGAAGCAGGAAGTCTTAGAGACGTTCAATTTTTATCATTTAGAAGCCTTTTTTTGTATCACGCTAAGGTGGATGTTGCGTGAGAAAAGACGTAGAGCGACTGTAACTTTCAGCGTTTTGGCTACCTTGCGCTTTACCTCTTCTGTAAATTATTTAAATACAGCACTCAAGTTTGATAATTGTCTTTACCTACAACTTCAGTAACATTCAGGTTAAAAACTAAAACATTTTACAGAGCAATCAATTTCCTGAATATATTTCCCGCTCCAAATGCTTTAACATGACTCGCTTCAGTACTTAGACAGCATATTAGGCAGTAGCAGTGGCGGATGTAGGCAGTGGGTTTGTTACATAAGAAGTCGCCTCCGCCTCAACTTCAGACATGGAGGGAGCCAAATCAATCTCTCTTCGGTGTCGAGAGGCCGACGATCCTCTTCGGCCGTCAACGTAAAGTTCTTCGGGAGTGTCGATCGTAGAGGTACCGTAGGTAGGTGCTGCTGGATAGTCGTCGTAGGCGTACTCTGGTTCGACCTGATCTTCCCTGCGATGGTGACCACCTTTGTGTCCTCCGTGACCATGACCGTAACCTCCCTTCTTCTGACACCTGGTTACGTATTCTTTCTCATACTTGACGGAGGTCACAGTGACTTGACCGATGCCAGTCACTGTAAATACGATGGTTTTAATCCTCTTCAAAGTTTTTGTGAAGAACATCGGCTTGACTTTGGTTTCGACCTGAGTCAGGAGAGGCTTGATGACTTGTGTGATGAAGACTGGGTACCTGATGGTCGTGTGACGAGTTTCCTTCGTCTTGTGGACTTGTGGTCTGGGATTACGAACCTCAACCTGCAATAAAACGCAAACTTCAGAATCCGATAATAAAACTGTAACAGTTAAGGAATGGCGGATTTTTCCAAAATTTGAATAAAAAATTGCTGCTATACTCACTGTGCGTATTACAATACAAAAAATGCAAACTGAAGACTATGACCTTCTAAAATCTCTATTCTCTTCAACTCTAATTAAATTTCGGAACTAAGCACCCAGTTTCTTCGAAGATTTCTGAGCGAATTTATCAAATGACGTAAATCTCATTATGTGAACGACAGTATCATATTAAGAATAAAATTGCTGTTGCGTTCATTATTTATGAGACTCATTTTGATGGAGCATAGGTTAAAATTATGTTCTAATTTCTTTATGGAGTATGGTAGTTTAATATTACGGTACTTCCGTTTTCAGATATCAGTGAAATAGGTAAAATGTAAAAACTCAAAAGCAGTCAAATGCGCCCAAGCCCTACAGACTGGAGCAATTCGGCAGTTACATTACCTAATCTTACGTAAAGTTCCAGAACTTTGACTGTATTCATGTGGAACAGTGATTCCCATCCCGGCTGCTAATGTCACTTATTTTATAGAGAGATAAACGCAAATGTTAATTCATTTTGTTGTTAATTGGTGGTGAAGTTATAATACCTATATCACAACAAAAATGGTCCTCTTTATGGGATGAGAAGTTTCTTTGATTAGAGAACTTGGGAGAGGATTTTAATTAAACCCCATTTAACACGAGGGCCCAGCTTGAACTTTGGCGGAGGCATTTCCAAGACAAGCTCATAAAATTTGACTCATAACCCGGAATTAACCTTCATCACGCAATATCCTACATTAAACGATTCACATATATTGATGTCGCCGCCCAAAATCATATGGATACTGGACAACAGTTGCTCACGAATGGACCAATAGTGGACTATGGATTGTCATAAGCCTGGCTATAACTGACTACGAACCTTATTAAAGACGTTAGCTTTCCTGTCTTTGAAGACAGTTCGGTATTTTGTGACAGTGTGTGGATGGCAGTGAGGCTTGGCGGGCTTATAATCCCTCGCTTGGGCATCGTCTCCTTGGAAGTAATCCTCATCAGCGTAGCGGGCCTCGGCTACGGGCGTCATGGAGGAGTCGACGTCCGTGATGGGGAAACTTTCTTCTTTCGGCCACGTCTCGTCATCTTGAGAGTGGACGAGGCTTGGCAGAACAACGAGGCCAAGCAGCACGAGCCTGAAATAAACAGAATTACGAGTCATCACTGCGCCTTAGGGAGAACCAAGTGCAAATAAAGCGACTGAGATAGAAAAATAGAGTTGTGGAAAGAAAGCGAATGACATCAAAATAATACAAAACGCCGGTCGATGGAAAATTGCCGTTTCAAAGTTAGAACAACACTGTGTCGTTGATCCATTTATTACACATATGATACATATTAACATTTCTTGTTTTATATAAGAGTAAGCCCAACAAAGAAATACGGTCTGACCAATATATCACCGTGTTCTAATTACCCAGTCTTTAGCGTATTTTTATTATTCTACAATGATCGCGCACTGTAAGACAGGAAGAATATGTACATAATAGTTAATTGATCACTCCCGTATAGAATATTATAATTAACACGACTATAAATATTTTAATGATAATATTATCATTTCTATTGTGTTTCTGGAATTCTGCTAAGATACATGCATCTTTCTGCGCGTACTCACATACCGTACGGCAATTTTGAATCTTGCTGGCTTCGAAAGTTTCACGCACGATGATGCGCAAAGCGTTGTGACGCCAAATAAAATAAATAATGACCCTTTTCTCCGAGAAATTTCAGTGAGGATCAAGAACTTTCACGTTTTCCAACGCTCAGCGCGGCAATAATGTTTTATTATTTCAGAAATTTTACTTTGGCAGAAAAAAATCGGAACGAAGATAACGGGAGCATAGAACGTGTTTTATCATTGGTTTTCATTCAAGTTCAAATATATCCAACGAAATCAGGCCAGGAGAAACATAAATTACTATAAGCACAAGTTAGAACGCTTTTTTTTCATTTGCAAATTAATCGCTGCAATCAGTTAATTAGTTCGCAATGCAATCAGTTAATTAGTTCGCAATCATTTGTTCATGATTAATGATTAATTTGAAATCATATGTTCATCATTACACAACGATTAATTTGCAATAATTTGTTCGTGATTACTCAAACAAACTGAATTATTTTTACGAATAAAAGCCTAGTTGGAGATTTAGACGATGAATTATATGTATTCGGTATTGAATAGCTGTCTGAGTGAGCTCGTTCATTATTAATAACTGAGCTGATGCGGAACTTTTTCTTGAAAAATAATTAGGTGGTGAATTTTTCAATGTGCATCATCAGTACGATACTGAATTGTGTATTGTCAGTAGATGCTTACTGAATTATCCATATAGCGAGTGCGCTTCCTGAGATGTGTATTATGAGAATCATTTGTTGCTTGACGTACGGGGAGGTGAAACCTAATTGATGAAGTCATGAAGATTGACTGATTTCCAGGCAAGCATCATTTTAGATGGAAAATTTTTCCATCTACAAACTTTTCCCTAAAAAATTCCATACCGGCTCAGTTATTCATAATGAGTATAACTGATCCAATGTTTGTGAGATTTTCATTTAACGAGGACGTCAACCAATTACGGTTCAACTAAATTTTCAATAAATATATTTGTTTATGCTTACAAATAATGATAAACATATTATTTCGACTGATATACTCCCAATATCAATCATTCGTTAGAAGCATCTGGCCTTATTAACCCTAAGGTTTACCAAACTACTCTTGCCAGGTATTCAATGTGTTATAAAAATGTACAACCACGTTTAACCATATTTTTGGGTGAAACTCAACATCTTAGCAAGATGAAAAACTACAGCAAATGTCCTATTAATTTTGCCCTCTTTAAAAAGCCCTTAGGCAATAGCAACGAACATCTCTTTTCACTGTAAATAGCATCCATTAAAATCTTCGTACATCTCCCTGACCTCGAATCGTTTCTCGAGGGATTATCTAGTCAACACTTTAAAACTGTTGGCAACAATCAGCAAACAATCAAATGAGGCCTCTTCAATCCGAACACATTAATCTCATAAAATAGTTTCCAGTCCAGCCCACTTATTCAGTCGTGCATGCGCAACAGCAAAATCTGCTTCACATCGGTCAGCAAGTTGTTCTCATTTCTACAAGAAAACGCGTTATGAAGATCACACTTGTGGTGAAACTAGCAGACTTGAGAATTGAGGACAAATCTCTTCTTTAGCTGCAAGAAACTCTGCATAAAGATTCGAATTCAAATGCTGAGTCACCGAAGTCAGCAGGTGTAGTAATTATCTTACTAAAAAAGAGATAAGTGTATTGTTACGAAGATACAATCATTTCGTATTGGGGCTACCAGAATTGCCGCGACGCCTTGCTTGTATAATAATATGCCAACAAACTCATCGCAGTGCACTCAAAGTTTGATCGGAAATAAGCCAGACATAAACTTATGAATGATGAATGCAGCAGCCCTTGAAAAAATCTAGTGTTGAAACCATGAGCGAGCAGATGAATTCAAGTCGACATGTAGCTGAATGAATTATAAGTAATTAAGCATGCACCGAGAAAATAATTAGTGAGTGTAATAATACTTAATTATTGACTAGAGCGAAAAATTAAAGCATAACGAAATTTTCAATATTCCTTTGCGGTTTTTCATATACAGTTGTTAAAAATTATAAGCAAGACGATATATCTATAAAGATTTCATAACTCAAAACAACATTAGGAACGATGCAAGCAACGATGATTAGAAGGAATTTAAGTTCTCGACCGCCAACTGATGATTATTGGTGTAATTTTACTTATACGATCATCTACCGATCGCAAACCATTTAAAGTTGAATGTGATGCACTGAATTTCTCTAAGTCCTGAAACATCACCGAATATTTTTGAAATTCTTATCTACATTCGAAAAGTTTAAAACGTTACATGCGGCCTAATTAAAATGAGTATCATGCTTGATGGTGCCGAATTTTTTGTAGCAATACTAACTAAGATTTCGAATAAAATCATTGATATCGTTTCCTTCAAAATCGCGGGAAAGTTTACCTGCAATTGTGAATATAAATATCCACGATGCCTTCTAATTGGAAACAATGTTGTTTGATGTAGCGAATAGAAATCAATCTTCAGTTAAGCACGGTCATAAAGATAAACTAAAGTTTTACTTTTCCCATTCCCTAAGAGCGAGCGTTGTAAAAGTTTTCCAGGTTTTGAGATCATCATAGGAGAGAAAGTAGAGGTAAAAAGTACCACGTGTTGTGCTGTAGCCCTTAGGCTGGTAATCCAAATGTTGGAGCGGAGAAAAAAACCTGCCTTCGAAGATGAGCTTCTTCAGGATTGCCGAAATCTTGATTGGCATGGCGACCAGGCAAGTCAGAGAAATACCTGTCGTGCTAACTATGTCAACGAAGAGTTTATGACTCAGGTGGCATTCATTGTTGCATTGACTGCAATAAATCTATAGATGAAAAAAGATATCACCTCGTTTTTTATACATGTGTCAAATAAGGCATAAGATGTCTGAGACTCAACGAACAGACGCATAATGACAGGGGAAGAGTATGGGAATTATGTAAGAAATCACGTATATAACAATACAAGATGAGTAGCACGAAAATTACTTTTTTTCTTCTCGCATAGTTTTTTGAGTCTAGAAATTAACAGGATAAGATAAGCAGGGTAAAAGTAAGCATGCATGGACAGTAGAAGCTTAGAACAAAATCAGAATTTTTTGAAATGTCAGAGAGCGTCTTTGAGTCCTCGCTTCGCCGGAGGGACGAGCGAAATGCCTGCTTACATCAGGCTTTACTAGCCTAAAAAACTCACTTTAAACATGTTGTTCGGCCGGGGGTCGTAAATATCAACGTTGCCGTCTATGGAAACTTTTACGAGGGAAGCGAGAGGGATTCAGCACGCCTCAAAATAAATTTTCAACAAGATTTGACGCTAAATTCGGAGTAACTTTGGTCACTTGATTAATTCATGGTCAGATAAATCATGAACTATCCCGTAGTGAAACTCGAGGACGTGATTTCTTGCATAAATATTTTAAGTACTACAAGTAGAAGAAGTTTTCAAGAATAATTTTGCCCATTATTCTATGGTTACTTAAAATTTTACACACTATGTAAAATTATGTTTGAATTATGTTATCATATTACAAGATATATTTATATATATGTAGGTTTGATTGAAGACCACAGCATGCTGCTAATTCAACATTCTAATTCAACATTCTGCTAATTTTTTTTCAATAGGCAAAACAAAATTTCTTGCTGGTGTTGGAAGATCAAAAAGCAGGTTACCAAATGCCATTTTACCAGAATACGACGTTTCGAATATTCAATATTCATTCTCAAGTAGGTGAAGAGTTTTGCACGACTTGAATATGAAATACAGATGAAAAATCAAAGTTTGAATTACGAGAACAGTTTCAACGTCCTTACAAATCCGGTAGTTTGTAAATTAATAGCTGGAGACTCATGCTTGATGAGAGCCTCTGCTATCGCCTGTCTTGTGGTGTTTAAGTACCTCGAGGTCTCCAACGTCGCGCGAGTGAGGGTCTCACTAGCTTGGAGACTCTCATTTGGTTCTTCGGTCCTCCGGGCTGGCATGTTAGACAGCGGCTCACAAAGTCCTGTTGTTCAAACCGATGTAATTTACGTTCTGAAGAGGTCTACAACCTTCTTTTTGGCGTGAATATTTGTACATTACATTGGTTTCTTGTAATGGTCCCGACTTTTTGAATGAATTATTTTTGCATTGTTAAATTCTTGAGTTTCATGTTTTTATGATAAATCAGGAGTTAGATTCGCTCGGTTGCAGCTGTGCTTTTGAAGGTACTCAACATAAGTGACTTGAGGACTCTTTCGTCTGTCTTATAAATTTATATATTAAACCGGCCTATTGGAGAACTTCCATTTTTTGGCTGGGGCCATTTGTTGCGAAGAGTTCGTGGTCGACGATTGTTGTCAAGGGTCAGTTCTCCAAGTGGCTGGTGTAGTCGATGAATTTTGCTCCAAAGAAGGTTGCAAACTTCTTTATGATTTGAACTACAATGGAGTAATTGAAATAACAACCACGATATCGAGACCGTCTCACCAGTCATCTTCGCTTGAGGCAAACTCACAAGACCGTAGCCCGCACCGTGC